CATAGACCTCTTGTACATCCATTGGTGGGACTACAGCGCGTCAATACCAGAAGTGATGCAGTCCTTGAATCAACTTGTCGCTACTGGCAAAATCCTGTATTTGGGAATCAGCGATGCCCCGGCTTGGATTGTGAGGTGTGCAAAACATCTACTCCTCATTCTGGCTGTTCAATATGGCTCACCCTCCTTATAGCAAGGCCAATGAATATGCTCGAAACCACGGGCTTCGCCAGTTCTCGGTCTACCAAGGTCGATGGTCCGCGTCTTGCCGAGACTTGGAGCGCGATGTCATTCCGATGTGCAAGGCTGAAGGCATGGCCATCACTCCTTGGGGCTCACTTGGCGGCGGAAACTTCAAGACTGAGCAGGCCCGAAGATCCAGCGAAGGCCGCAGGACGGAGGTTAGCGACGCCGATATCAAAACGAGTCAGGCACTTGAGGCGATCGCCATCCGCAAAAACACAGCCATCACTAGTATTGCCTTGGCGTATGTAATGCACAAGACGCCCTATGTGTTTCCTGTCATAGGAGGAAGGAAGGTTGAGCACCTCAAAGGCAACATTGAGGCACTTACAATCGAGCTCACCGACGAAGAAATTCGATTAATCGAGGCTGCTGTGCCCTTTGATCTTGGTTTCCCTCATAACTTTCTATGGGGCCGGCAGGTACCCAATCCTTTACAGGACGTCTGGCTTCTGTCCACTGCCGGAAATTTTGAACATGTCGAAGATGCTAGGGTGTGTATTGATCCCATGTCCTGCAGATTCTGCAACTCGGTTGTCTGACAATCGCATAGCCTATTATACCGAAGAAAACAGGAGAGTAGAACACTCCGGTTAAAACGTATAGTTGGCGCTGGCTACCATACCGTCAACATCATGATGAATTTGAAGATACAGCCACGCTGTACCAGCGGTATTATCAACAGCCTTGATTTCATGTCTACCGTGTGATTCGGGGGGCGGGCTTAGGACAGGCCACCACAACGAGAATACCTACATTTATTCAACACCAGTGATGATGCTATACCCATCGTGTGCCGCCTTTGTGTCAATTTTGCCAATTACAATGGTCATAACTTTATTTCATTGCAGGGGTATCTACATACCGATTTTTGAAACCTGGCCATCAGGACTATGAAGAAACACCAGTCACCACACAATACTCTGTCCTCTAGCTCAACGCCATCTAGTTTAGGTTGATTTTTCTGCCACATTGCTCCAAATTCGTACAATTCTGTGAATCCTTTACTTTGCACCCTTGCCCTTTGCTTCATTCTCACCAAGTTCTCTGATTAAAACAGACGTAGCACCAGCGCCTGTATAGTCTTCCTGGCCAGTCTCAAACCCAGGACACACCCCAATAGCTAGGTATTTACCATCGTTAGAGAAGGCTAGCGCCGCAACGCTATGAGAAAACTTTTGATACTGCTTTAATCGCCTCTTGGCCTCGGCATCCCACAGCGCAACAGTTCCATCTCCACCTCCTGAGGCAAATGTCCCATGAACAGGGTGGAATGCCAGCGCATTGACGGGGTAGACAACATCACCGTCACCGTCCGGCGCTGGTTGTCTATGACACTTGAACGCATACTTTCGAGCCTGCGACTCTGCTGTATCCTCAAACCACTCCACGGCCACACGGCCCTCGATGCTGGACGTCGCATACCCTGCGTCATTGGGCATACATGCCACAGCACGCGTCAGGTACCGAAGTGATGATTCTCGTGTTTGCCAAGGTTTCAACTCGGTGCCGCCCGAGGCAAAGAGCTTCGTCATGGCGTTGAGGTCGTAGATGTGAATGATGCGGCCCGTCATGGCGACGACGACCTTGGTTGGACTAGAAGATATAGCGTGGGGTTTGGCGGGGAGGGGTATACGGATTGGAGCGCTGGCGGAGGAGAGATCGTGCAAAGTGAGAGTACTGTCCCATGAAGCAGAGACAAGGATATCTTGTACATAGTTTAGCAGAGGCACGGTTTGATAGGGAGATGGGGCTTACTGTGATCCTTGCTGAATACGACGCGGCGAACAGGCGCAGCATGTTTACTCAGAGGAGTTATATCTCCAGTTTGCAAGTCCAATCTACAGCACAAAAATTAGCCATGTGTAATACACTTGCGAGTAGCTGGAGGAGACACACCTGCTAACAGTCCAGTCCATGCCTGCCGTAAAGGCTTCATTGTCATTCGCTCCAAAGCAGACATCTAGAACGGGAGCTCGGTGCTCATATGTGTTCGTCAGACTGCCCTCTGACCCGCCGCTGGCGACATCATAGCTGTATACTTTCTTGTCCCACGACGACACGAGGAGTTTGCTAGAGTCGGACGGCGCAAATGCGACCGCGGAAACGGCGTCGCCAGGCGGCGGGGAGAGTTCAAATTGCGTAGCTGTTTGCGCCATTAGCCATGTAATCGGATCAGGCTGTAGACTTTTCCCAATGGGCCGGAAAATAACCTACCTGGAGCCATTATCAACACTCGCCAGTGCGTCTCTACCAGTGGTGCAGCTTGTTGATGAGCGCAGCTTTTGGTTGTTTACTTCCAGTCACGTGGGCGACAGCAGTTCTCTACCCAGGTTACAGGTCACTCGCACCCTCTGCATGCACTAGAAGAGCAATCAACAACAACAGCTGGGCTAGTTCTGCCGCTGCATACCGCTTCAGAACTAGCCACACCCCGCCACACCCCACCATCCAGTTCGCAGCAAATCGAAAATGTCAAAATTATGACTCCCTTCTAACCACCAAACCTTTCACTCACGAAGTTTTCGAACTGCCACAGTCTAACCGACAAACCTCGGAACGAGTCGCGCCACTGGATTTCCGGCATTTTGAAAATTTTCACCCTTTTCTCCAAATAGCTGCACTTCACACACGACGGGTCTGGGTGCAGTTTTAAGCGTGCAAACGTGCCGATATATTTCTGGGACCGGCGAACCCCACCTCCCCTCTTCTTGTTCCCTACGAAAACCGAACGATTAGTTCCTTGATCTTCTCGACATTCAGAATAACACCGCCAAGATGTCGTTAACGAACTGCCGCTTCTACGAGGAGAAGTTCCCGGAGATTGATAGCTTCGTCATGGTCAATGTCAAGCAGGTGCGTTTGGAAGGGGTTGGGCGCAGGCGATCGCACGGGGGACCATGAATCTGACAAGAATACGTGGGTAGATCGCCGAAATGGGTGCTTACGTCAAGCTTCTCGAGTATGACAACATAGATGGCATGATTCTCCTCTCTGAATTGTCGCGACGACGTATTCGAAGTATCCAGAAGCTCATTAGAGTCGGGCGTAACGAGGTTGTCGTTGTGCTGCGAGTGGACAAAGAGAAGGGTACGCGAATGTTTTGTGTTGGCCGATTGCTACCTAAGTCATAGAGCTAGAGAGAAATACTGGGAGAAGCTAACGTCGGCGGCAGGCTATATTGATCTTTCCAAGCGACGTGTGTCTCCTGAGGATATGGTCAAGTGCGAGGAGCGATATAACAAGAGCAAGACCGTCCATCTGATCATGAGGCACGTCGCCGAGAAGACTCAGACTCCTATTGAGACGTTGTACGAGTCCATTGCCTGGCCCTTGAACCGGAGATATGGCCATGCCATCGATGCCTTTAAGCTGTCTATTACGTACGTTTCGCTAGGACGTCATTCGTCCGGGGTTCAGGTACTAATCTCTTCGATAGTAACCCCGAAGTTTGGAACGATATCACTTTCCCGAGCAAGCCCGTCGAGGATGAGCTGAAGCTGTACATTAGCAAGCGACTTACTCCTCAGCGAACCAAGGTCCGAGCTGACATTGAGGTCACCTGCTTTGGCTATGAGGGTATCGACGCCGTCAAGACTGCACTGAGAACTGCCGAGGCCAAGAACGACTCTGAGGATGCCAACACCGACACCCAAGTCAAGGTCAAGCTTGTCTCGCCCCCCTTGTATGTGCTTACCAGCACCTCCTTCGACAAGCAGCAGGGCATTACTCTCCTGCAGGAGGCCATTGAGAGCATCAGAAAAAGCATCGAGGCTGCCGGCGGCAACCTGACTGTTAAAATGGACCCCAAGGCTGTTACCGAGAGCGATGATGCCGAGCTGCAGGCCCTTATGGAGAAGAGAGAACGTGAGAACGCCGAAGTCAGCGGTGACGAGAGCATGAGCGAGAGCGACGACAACATCCCCGAGACAATTTAGGCAGCTCCAGAGCAAACAAGAAGGGAAGAAGAAGGCCGCTAGTATCTATTACTGGACTTACTGGACTTGGGTCCGGATTGACAAGGATGCTGGTGCCCATCGGCGATGTCCTGAGGCCGTTGCGAGTCGCATTGGGTCAATGCGAGATGTAAGCGGCTCACCGTAGGCTATACTGTAAAAACTTGGGGTAGGGACCGCATGATGATGACGAGAATGGCATGGGTTGGTGAAAAAGGCTGGTCTATATTGGCATTTCATGTAAGCTATTTTTTGAAATAGCGCGTGACGCCTTCAAAGCGGCGTTGGAGATTGAAGCAGTAGCATGGAAAGAAACATGCGTAAATTTAAGACTCGATATATATAACTGGGAGCTGTACTCTGCGTTGGAGTAGAAACTAGAGAAACGTCGTTGAAGTAATTGTACGTCGCAATTCGGCGCGCCCGAGGTTACCGTATGCCTGTGTTGCGGTCGGACCAGACTGGAGCCCGAATGGATCTCCAGGGTCCACCGCCAACTGCTGCCGCCACCAGCAGCAGGTTGCCGAACTTATTGCAGTTAGCACCAGCCTGGCACGCGAGTTTGACAGTCGTAAAGGCTGCTAGACTGCTTTACCCAACCTCAACCTCGCACCTCACAACCTCGACTCATATACCACGGCTTCTCGCGCCCTCGTCTACCTCTCTGGAGGAGTAGGTGCACCGATGGCGCCGGGTTCGATGTGGTCGCGCCTACGAATACCACGCTCCGGGCTAGCCAGAGCCGTCACTCTGAATCTGATGGGCTTCGCGACGTGGATCCCCGTCATTGCCTGGTTCAACATGCACGTCGCAGAGCTGACGTTTGTGGATGGCTCATCCATGTACCCATTTCTGAACGAGGACAAGGACTCGACGCTGCGGAGAGATTTTTTTCTGAATTACAAGTGGTCGCCGCAGGAAGGGTTGGAGAGAGGCATGGTTGTCACATTGAGGTTTGTGCGAGTGAGCCTCCAGGCTCTGGTGGTTTTGGGTTCGGGGCCAGGGTCGTGACTTTTTTTTAGGAGCATCAATGCCTGACAGCAAAGTCTAGGAGTCCATATAATCCGGAGGTTGTTGCCGTCAAGAGGGTGGTTGCGCTTGAAGGGGATATGGTCAGGACCAAGAAGCCGTATCCCATACCAACGGTCAGGATACCCCAGGGCCATGTTTGGGTGGAAGGAGATGGGCCGGCGGGATCGAGTCTGGACAGCAATACGTACGGGCCTGTGTCGAAACGCTTATTGACGGGGAGGGTTACGCACATTGTGTATCCGTTGAGGAAGTTTGGGCGGGTGAGGTGGTGGGAGCATGAGAGCAAGCTGGTGGAATGATGGCTTTGTACGATATCATGTGAATGACGGTGGACCTATGTATACCTAGGTACCTAGGTATATATTATGGCTTTGTAGGATGTACCCGCGGTCGTGTATAGAGTTGTATGGCTATAGGTTACAGGACTAGATAAAATACACAATGCAATGATTGACACGGTAGAGAAAGCGTTGCATTTTCGTTTCTTTTCTTCTTCTTTCCGAGTACCTAGTTAGCTGTCGAGTTGCTCGTTGGGGTAGGTCAAAGTGAGTTCAAATCCAAGTTGAATCCTTTGGCAAGCAGTGCACGGACCACTGGTGATTCCAGACGCCCTGTGTGCTTGTGCTGTACGGAATACCGGCGCACTACTACAGAGCGAGCCCACCGGGGAGAGGCGGACGCCCAGGCACAGAACAAAGCGACGCCGCTCCAGCAAGGAAAGGAAAATAAAAGTGGTTCGGGGATAAAATCGGCACCGGAGCAAAAAAATTGTTATGCGCTCACGGTGCAGTGCCGCAGCCATTGACGACTCCCAGCACACACGCGACGAACATCCAACGTCGCTGACGCAACGGCCCCCATCACAGCATTCGGCAAAATAGACGACGAGCACAGCTATAATCGCTCACTTGGCGCTGTGGTCTTGACGTATCCGTTTTCCTTTTTTTTTTTCCCCGGCGTTTCATTATATATCCCTGCGTCGTTGATCCCGCGAAACCCCGACCCAAGCGGTTTTTCCTTACCAACTCCCGTCCCTTTTTTTTTTTTTTTTTTTTGGTTTCTCTGCGATATACGGCGGCGGGCGTCTGGGCCATGCCCCTCGCCTCACACCTTTCCAACTTCTTCTTCGCCGGCTCGTCTGCTTCGGCTGGTGACAGCCG